CCACCGCAGTTTGTCCTTCATGAGCCTTCGTAGACAAGATGGCGGTGCAAGATGGCGGCTGCCTGTAATGGCGACCCGCGACCATGGAGATATAAACAGCTTTTTATAAGGTACAAATAATAAAACAAGGTCTTTGTTTGCAATGATTAGACATGTTTATTATTATTGTCATTAGTGATTATCTCAATTTTGGCTAAAAGAACTGACAAAATCTACACACTGTGCCTTTAAACCACTGAAATAAAGTTATTTGGAATTAGCTGTGGTAACCATCTTAGATTTCCAAATCTAGAGTGCTTTTCTTTTTTTTTTTGCATGTCCCCCCCACCCCTAAAAATCACCTTGGCCACCCCTTGCAAACAAAGTCTAGCTCCGCCCCTGACTGCCGTGGAGCACTCACTGTCCTCAAAGCCGGGGCTGGAYAGCTGGATGTCCAGGGAGAGCATGGACAGGTCCGACTGCGAGGGGCGGTGCTCCGCATCAGGTGAGTCCTGCATCATTTCCTCGATCTCCTCGATGACCTGCGCAGAGAGCACCGGCGAGTAAACCAAAACGGCCCGCCGAGCCTTTAAAGCCGGCGCCGCCAACACCGTACCTGCTCCACTGTGGCCAGGGGCTCCTCCTCCACGCAGGGCACGATGATGGAGTGCACGCCCAGCTGCTCCCTCAGCTCCTCCTCGTCCGACGGCTCCTCCGCCACGTCCGCCTTCCTCTATCCAGGGAGAGACGGGGGAAAGGGGCGGGGGGATTTAATCACTGCKCTTTAAACCCTGAGCACAATGACACATTGAGATTTGTGCAATGGACAAACAGAGGGCAGATTTGGTTGTGTGTGTTGTGTGTGTGTGTGGGGGGCAGGAGATGAGATGGGGGAGGGAGGCGTCACCCACGGGTGTCTCCTCCAGGTTGAAGGTGGAGATGTAGAGGGAGCGAGTTCGCGACTGTCCCCAGTCTACAGGCATCACCTGGCCATGGTTCCTGCTGAGAGCGGCCCAGATTCTGCAGATTCACACACAGTCAAAGGCACTTTACGTCTGATTATAACACGGCGCACGGTGGGAAGTCATTCTGAACTGTAAATATTTTATTAAATATATTCTTGAATCAAACCAGAACYGTCTGAGCTGACAGTGCTACAGCTAGCTGCTACTGCTATTTGCACTCACAAATAAMGGAAACTCGATTTATCCAACAGTGTGACGTGAAAATGACAGAGGTGTAAAAGTTTGTATATTTGAATTGTTTTAAAACAAGAGTTCACTTTGTTCTCGCCCAAACTAGCCATTAGCTCATCAGTCGAGGCACAATATAAGAAAAAAAAAAACTTTCTCCAACTCGATTCAAAGAGCCATCTACGACAGGTAAGGTATTTATTGTTCATATCATTTCCACAGAACCCCATTTCACAAAACCAAACTACRACATTCATTTTGACTGAACTGCTCAATCAGAACTCCTACATTCCTGTATGTTAGTTTAAAWTATGATCATCACAACATTAAAGCTTTCATCTGCCAGAGTTAGAGATATACTGTATTCCCCAACTAATCAAATATGTCTGATGATGTGTGTCAAAGTTTAACACACAGAATGATGCTGCCATCAGGTGGAAAATAAAATCACACAATTAATAATTTTATTACTGATGTTATGAATAATGATTCAGAGTATTTTCACATTTAAATGTGTTTGATTCGCTGTAATAAATGAGTCAATTAGTGGGTGTCAGAGTAATTAAGATACTAAATATTTTTATTTTGTACACCTAAAAGGTCCATCAGCAGATAAAACGCCTTTGTGTGATTTTAAAAAAGTAGATTTGTGGTAATAAGCATGATGGTGCAGACACATAAACAAAAACATACACAAACACTCACAGGTCCTTGTCCAGCAGAGAGTCTTCATCCATCACACTCACTGCCCCCAGGCTGTCCGATGTTACCTTAACATGATGACCCAAACAGGCAGGAAAGACCCCCCCAGGTTCTACCAGGTTCTCCACGGACCTAAACCCTGGGGTTCCCCCGGGGGGAAGCCTCCTGTCAGGCCGCTCTGGATGAAGATCCAGGAGGAGCWGAGCGGCAGCCTCCACCGCCGCAGGAGCGCGGTGAGGCGGCAGCTCCTTCTCACAAAGCCCGGTCACATCGTCCACCAGGTCCGGCCGGTCGTCCACGAGCTGTGCGATCGGTGCAGCCATATAATCCGGACCATGCTGGGCTAATCGGTCCGGGTAAAAGAYGGATTCGTCGGTTCGGGACCTGCAGGCCTCATCTTCATCCTGTCTGAACACCGGGCCCACTAGTGGTGATCCACAGGATGGAGCCGAGGGCATCAAGTCTGGTTCTGTTTACCTTTGCGTCGCATCAGGTATGGAAGACCATTAGTGACATAATGAAAATAAAATAAAATAAAATAAAATAGATTTTTCAAAAAAAAAGCTATTTTTTTGATTTCCTGAACATGTCAAATTTGCACAATTCCAACGGTGTTTTATTCACCAGTTTTCCTGCGACCCAGAAGTGTTAGGCTCAGCTAGTACTTGTAACTACAAAATGGTCTACCACAAGATGCTAATATCCCATAAAGCATAAACTGTTAACGTCAGAATTTTATGAAGCTGAGCCAGATTTTTGCAATATTTAAGTCAACTTGAGAAATAAGTCATAATTATGAAATGTGAAGTCAATATTATGTCATAATTAAGTCAATTTGAGACCAAGCATAATTCTTAAATGTTAAGTGTAATGGACTAATTATCTATCTGTGTCACATGTTCAATATTAATCTGTTCGTCCAGACAACAGGACTCCGCAACGGACGGACCTCTCTTG